TTGGTTTTTGGGGTTTTTTTTGTGGTTTGTTTTGTTTTGATTTTGATTTTTTTTTTTCCCCAAGGGAGCCCTCATTTGAATCATTAAGGCTCGCCCTCACTTGATCTCTTGTTCAGCTCCTTTTTCTTGGTCCCATTGCTGAGCTCTGCTCTCCAGATCCTCCTGGTAGTTCAGGTTTCAGGAGGCAACAGTGAAGGGATGGACAATATTCAAGTTACAACAAAAGCAACACAGAATGCCCAGGCCAGAGTTTACAGTTCAAGTCAGATTCAGAAGGTGCAACTGTAGACAGTGGCAGATGTCTTTTTGCACAAGGCTAACAGCACCTGGAGCCAAATATTTCCAGAGTCACCACACTTTTCACTATCCCTGTAATCACCCTAGCTCACACAGCCCTGAGCTCGCTCCATCATTCCTTCTGCCCATCTTTAGTGCTTTCTTTGCATTTCCACCAGAAGGTGGCATTATTAAACTCCATTGGACCTGAAAGTCATTCATGGTTAAAGCAGGGCACCCCAGTCAAGCAAGTGGAGTCACTGATGAGCAAGTAGAGAGTGTAAAATATATGTTTATGAAAAGTAAGAAAAAATTAGTCATTACATTGTGCTGATGGAAGAAACATCAATTTCTCCGAGGTTTTATTTATTTGCTTGCAAGCAAATGAAAGTCTGTGGATATAAAATTAACTACAGGCAGTTTCACCAACAATTCACAAAGCACACCAGAATATCCTGTGAGTCACAAAGATGACAGAGATGCTCCAATAAAAACCTTTTGTTGTACCTGTCACAGTTTTATTTTGGTGTCCTGAGTGGTTTCTCCTGCTACTAAAAGTGAACTGAATATTGTATAAGTTGGCTCTACAGATTGTCTTGAACAGATCTTGCAACGAATCAGTTTTTCCGTGGGATAACAGAGTGCCTGGGCCTTGGCAAACATGGAAAGATTAGTAATCATTAAGATAAGTTTTAGTTCTTTCTCTCTTTTGATCCTCTGCAAATGCCCTAATTTTTTTAACTAGCCTCATTTATATGACATCTGCCATGGAAGGAACAAGCCGGGAAAGACTTTGAAGATGTTCAGGAAAAGGCCAGTCATTTAATAAGCTTTTAAAGGCTACCAGCAACTGAAGTGTTTGAGACTTGGGGGCACCAAGACAAAGCACACAGAACACAAAGCCTTTACACCACATTGTCATCCTTCCTCTGTATCTAAACTCATCACAAAAGTGGCCTGAGAACACTTCTGCTTTCACCACTGCCTTTTTTTTCTTTTTTCTTTTTTTTTTTTTTCAGAAAGACCAGCCTTTAAAGGACCTCATAGTGATGATAAGGTAATGGCTGAGACATTTAGAAAAAAAAAATTCAATCTCAGGTATCAGCTACTCCTCAGAGTGGAAACAGTGCAGAGCTCTTACCTACCTGTAGAAACTGCTTGGTGACATTTAAGAGATCACTGAACATGACAAAGAAAGCTTCCTGCTGTGCCATTTCACATTTAAGAAGAATAAACTCATCACCCCTAAAAGTGTCCCTTAATGGTTTTTTGCATCAGTGATTTTTATTTTAAGCAAAATTCAGCATACAAAATCTCTATTTCTGTCATGTTTGAGGTAAGAAGTTTCAGTTCTTTTTTTTTTAATGAGGAGTCCTGTCTATAGCAGCTTTGCAAACACAGCATGTAGAAAGAAAGCAAATGAGGCTGAGGAAAAGGATGACTGACACCATTCACAGAATCACCAGTGGATAGAAACAGTAGAATGCACAGGACTGGTCCAGTGAAAGAAAAAAATGAGGGGAATTGCAGCTTAGCATTGAACGAGGAAAAGATGTTTTTGGCTTAAATAATTTCCTCGTCAGCACAAACAGCTATCTTAGCCAAAGGGAATGCATGCATTTAAAAAGATTGAAGTAAATTGGGAGTGAATCACCTGAGAAACAACAATAGTGGTTGTCTCTAAAACTAGGAAATTATTCACTTCCTTTTTTAAGGAACCTTCTCTGTCAGATTGCTCTTTTTTGCTACAGGAAATTTGGAATACATTAAGAAATTACAAAGAAAGGAACTGTACAATGAACTGGTAGTGCAAACACTTTGCTAACAAGGAAGAATGGGAGCTACAGATGTGCAAAAAGTGATTCAAATTCACCTGAATTGCAAAAGAAGAACCCCACAAGGAGAGACAACACACAGAGGGGCTGGCTACCTGATGGAGAGAATGGTTTGATGAGAAAGGTAAATGTTTTTCCATCTGTGACTTTGGCAGCCTGGATCCTGCACCAAGCCACACAATCAATCATAATACTAATTCTTGCAATAGTCGTCCCTTTTTATTTACTGTCATCTGCTTCTCTTGTGGGCCAGCCTCTTCCAAACAAGGACTTGTCTGAATAATCTGTCCCTGGCCAGCACTGAGATCAGACAGAATGGATGGTGCACTGGCATATCAGTGGTAAGTATCTCCTTAGGGGGTTAGGCACATGTCTATCTCCATTTCTTCCTTAGGCAAAACTCCTATGCCTCCTGTAAAATGGCAAATTAATGATAAGACTTCCCATAAAAATGGGAGGGGATGAAATAATCTTTTGGTGGAAAGCAAAGTTTTTTACGGTATGGGTTGTTCCACATTTTGCTTTTATTAAGTTCCTTCCTGTTGCACCTAATGCACCCCCCCCACACACACACACCATCCCATATAAAAGGTTAATCTCCTTCCAGTCAGGCCAATCAGGTTCGGTCCACCCCGTGATTTATCTGGCTGCTGTCACACATCCTGATACCATTTAGTAAAGAGGTAAAATGACCTCTTCTTCTCTTCCCCTGCAAAACCTTTAGTTTTGCAGCAGCATCACTGAGAATGCCTTCCCCTGTAATCTTGCCATCTCCTGCCATTCTCCTTTTCTTAGTCTCTGCCAGGTTCTCCAAGATGCATCTGAAAAAGACGGGCTGCCATGTCTTACAAGGGACCTCAGAGCTCCCCCACTGGAGACTAGTTATGCTCAGCCCCTTCCACTCTTTTCTCTCTAATCAATTGCAGGACCAGCACTCACAACACCTTTCCTCTACTTTCTGCATTGTCTCATTTGCTCAGAGATTTCTTTTGTTGTTTTTTTTTTCCTGTTTTCTTTCCAGTTTTCCATGCAGGCTCTCCCAGGGACTCTGTTCATTGGTAAGCCATCAGAAGGTATTCCAGAATTCATTCACATCCTCTTGATTTTCATGAATTGGCAGATAAATTTTTTAATCATCATTTTCTGGAGTTCACACATCATAGGTTTTCAGCATCTGTAACTGCAACTGTTTTTCTCTTTTTTGCGGCTGAGCATTCCTCTTTCTGCAGAAACATTCTTGCTCAGTTTCCTTACAAAGACAGCCCTTCCCATCTGGCAATTTAGCATGAAGTGAGTTGATATTATGGCAGGTGCATTTGCCACTCAAAAGCCTTCCAAAGAAGGACTGGGCAAAAGGCACTGTGCCAGGTAGGTGCTTTCTTCAAACTAGTGCCATATGGATCATTCTATACTGGAATTCACATGGCTGCAGACTTTTTCCCTGCTGACAGTATGCCTGACAGATCAGAAGCATGTCTGAAGTGCAGCCTGTGTGCTAAGGATAGGTCTCGAAAGACAGGTGATGGATGACGGTCAACACCTCTCACAAAATGTTGCTGCTGATGGGAAATCATTCCTTAACCAAGCAGGGTTCCTACAGAGTCAAAGAGATTTAATATCTGGATTCAGTTCTATTCATCTCTTCATCTGGAAATCAAGAAAAATCATCACTGATGAAATTCAAAGAAGATACCTAGTTTGATAGAGCTGAAAATAATGAGTGGGACAAGATAAGCATGTAGATGCTTGGTGGCTTATTGAGGAGAAAAAATTTACAGCCAGAACTAAGAAACATCAATGCCTAAGAGAGCATTGTAAAGAGCAAGAGGTGTTTTTTTCCTGGAAAGCATGTACTCAAAGAAAGATTTTCTGTCATAGTTATTGTGGCTGAAGAGCTGAACTTGTGGCTCTAGTGAAACAAATAACATGTCAAAGAAGAGATTAAGGAGGCCCTTAGAGAGACAAAAGAACAGCAAGAGGAACAGCTTCTGGTTTCTGTGAGCAGAGCTGATGAAATGGGTACAGCAGTGTTGTCTGCTTATCTGATGTCCACATCCTTTAAGGACTGCTAGTAAACTGAAGAAAAAATGTAAGTGATCTGCAGAGCAATAACCAGTACAGGAGGAACATCTCCCAGAGACCACTTTTAAAATCTACAGATCCAACTTGTGAAAGATGACCAACAAGGTCCTTCCCACACAGTTGTTTTATTCTGGCAAAACCTGAGACCAGTAAATCCTGCATCTCATGCTTCAGGCTTTTCGCATTACATTCACATCGAGCTCTTCAGCCAAACAGAAGTTATTGGGCAGTGTAACAGTGTCAGAGGCATATGAGATAGCAGCAAATGGCATAACTGAACAAAAGCTATACCTGTGTCTGGAATAACACCAGAGAGCAAACAAGAAAACAATCTCTTGTGGACAGAGATGTCCGATTCTTACTACTCTCACTACCAACTTCTGTAGATTTCTTGTTTCTGCTTCTCATTGTGTATTTTCAGTTTCTGCTGATCACAAGAAAGCAAGTTCCCCTGTTCAGAAATGGCTTGTACTTTTTCTTGGCTGGCCTTTTCTGGGAAACAGAGGAGACCAGCACCTGCCAGCTGCCAGTACAGCTGTTCCGTTGGCAGGACTCACAACCATCCTGCTTGGCTACCGTATGTCCTCTATGCTCTCTTCTCCCTTCTCAGGATCCTCCAAAAGACAAATAAGGCCCATCTTACTCTCAAGAGAAATTCATAGAAGCTGCTGAGCAGAAGCTGTGACAGAAAGCCTCGGTAAACCTCAGCACTTTGCACGCTTTGCCCTTAGACCACACACACGTGCGAACGTCCTACTTATACAGTATCCTGACTGGTGTTACATTTTGTCCTGGGCAGTGGTAGAAGGTAGATTTGCTCTACATAAAATCTGCAACAGAAAACATCAAGAAAAAAGGTAGTGTGAATTAACATATCTTCATTTCTATTTTTAGTATGATAAGTAGGAGTTAGTGATAAGCAATAGTGATTAGAAGGAGCCTTCCCTATACTATCTATACAGCTTTTCTCTTCTACAATTACATAATGCAACTTGCAAAATCTGTCAGAGGACCAGAAACACACTTCCCACACACCCACCAAGTGCCTGCCTCCTCTCTGCACTCTACAGAGGATTCTTTGATTTTTTTTTTCGGAGATTAGGAATAAAACAAGGTTTCAGTTGAATGAGAGCTGACTGACATCTGTGCTTAGTGACATCAGTTTTAATGATTGTTTAACTCAGTAATCAGTCTCCCAGTGGAAACTGTGGGGTTTTTTAAACATTATGTGTTTAATTTTATTTCTTACTTAAAGGGACTATCTCTGATGAGCACTGAGGAGAGAAGTACTTGTGATACAAGTGAGTCTAAGGAAGTCGAAGCTTCCGCTAAGAGACACAGCTACCTAGTGTTATCTGCTTTTTACGTCTGTGGGTAGCACCTCACTGGCAGAACTACCTGAAGAAAAGCAAGAGATTCTGCACCCTGAGAGCAAAGAAAATTCTTCATCTCATCTGAGAGGAAAGGAGGAGAAAAGGTAAAATTCACAAAATGCAATTGCTCAAACATTTTTGTATCATGTACACTCATGATATGTGTGAATGTAATGCTTTTTCATTTACCTTTTATAGTTGCTCAGGTAATTTTTTAAAGCAGTTTTAAGAATTCTTGCATCATCAGAAGTGGGTGTATTCTGTGAGCATATGTTTTTAAGTATTCAAATGTATTATGTTGAACCTAGATTAAATTCAGGTATGTCTGGCTGCAGTTGCTGTAAAGCTGTCATTTCTACATCACTGGTGTCAAACAGTTCTGTCCTTGTGACTTGTAAATCAGATTAAGTTCCTCTCTGTGTAGAATGGAATGGAACTGTAGGCTGGAAAGGTGTCATGCTTGGGAACATACACAGTAGGTCTCAAATTAATGATTATCAACATTTGCTGGTACATAGCAGCAACACACAGGACTAAGAGAATTAAATCTAAGAAACTCACTTCTCTTCTGCTTTACATTCATAAAATGAAGACAAAGGGGAAGAAAATAGCACGGGCTTAGAGTTCTGATATGATAGGCTAAAAAAAATGCCACTTGTGATGTGAATAACACACACAAGTAAGAACAGAACTCAGACTTAAATTTCTGGTATGTTAAGCTAAAAAAATGATGCTGTGATAAGAATAACATACAGACTCGTATGTCAGCAAGATATTTTCTCTATGTCCAACTTACATTACTTAAAACTCTGTATCTGCCTATTAAAAAAGAACACATATATGAAGATGAAAAATTCCTGTTATTCATTTAGCCACTGAAAATAAGCCCTTATTGAAAGCTCATGACAGCTTTCAGTAAAGGTAATTTCATAAGAAAAGTCTGATGAATGTTTATCACTGTCTTCCTATGGTAGGTGACATATACCTGATGGGAAAGGTGGGTGAGGGAAATTCTGAACTGCTATGAACAGCGAGTTTGCTTTTTACTTTACTCTACATGGAACTTGACCCTCTCTGATTTGACAATGATGTGGCCCACATCTTCCACTCCCATTTTCTTTCCTGTTGTCCATTTGAACATCCCTTTGTGCTTGACATGCAAGTCACATAGTGCTACAAGGACTAAGCACACGCATGCTAAGGACAATACCTTGCTCAAGTGTGCACATGCATCCATCCCATAATGCTTACATAATATCTGAGAACCTGCAGTGAGTCGTGTCCCAAGCTGAACTTCTGATTCAGGTTTGTGGAGTAGCCATGTAGTCTTGCGCACTGAAAGTCACTGACATTTTTATATTCTTCCCTTCTCAGAACCGGGGGAAAAACCATGAGTTCTTCAAGTACAGAGTCCCTTGAAGTCGAACCCTCAACCTTTTATGAATATTACGATAGTTATTACGATGCTCCAAAACTATGCAGTAAAGAAGGCGTCAGGAGGTTTGCAGCCTCCTTCCTACCCGTTCTGTATTCCCTGGTATTCCTGGTTGGGCTCGCTGGAAACATTCTGGTCATCGTGGTCCTCTTCAAATACAAGAGGCTTAGGAGCATGACTGATGTGTACCTGCTAAACCTCGCCATCTCAGATTTGCTCTTCGTTTTATCCTTGCCGTTCTGGTCTTATTTCACAGTAGACCAATGGGTTTTTGGAACTCCCTGGTGTAAAATCATTTCATGGATCTACCTGGTTGGGTTTTACAGTGGGATATTTTTTATTATGCTTATGAGCATAGACAGATACCTGGCAATTGTTCGTGCAGTGCTTTCCTTGAAAGCAAGGACCACCTTTCATGGCTTGATTACTAGCCTTGTTGTGTGGCTAGTAGCTCTTTCAGCCTCAGTCCCCGAGCTGGTATTTAGAGAGTCTTTTAATGAACATAATTTTACTACCTGCAAGCCGAGATTTACAGGCAATTTCACAACATGGAAGCTTTTTTCCACTTTGGAAGTCAACATTTTAGGGCTCCTAATCCCTTTTATAATTATGACATTTTGCTACTCCATGATCATTAAAACTTTAGTTCATTGTAGAAATGACAAAAAGAATAAGGCTGTGAAGATGATTTTTGTTGTCATGATTGTGTTTTTCTTCTTTTGGACCCCCTACAACATTGTTATTTTCTTACAACTGCTGGAATTTATGGGAGTCATTAAAGACTGTCAAGTGAGCAGGAATCTGGACTATGCTTTCCAGGTAACGGAAATCCTCGGCCTTTTTCACTGCTGCCTCAATCCAGTCATCTACTTCTTCATGGGGGAGAAATTTAAGAAGTACCTGAAGATGCTCTTTAAGAACTGGCAGTTACCAGGGTATTTCTGCAAGTGGTGTGGAGTTCACATCACTTACCACACTGAATCTACCAGTTCATTCCACACACAGTCTACAGGGGATCAAGATGCTCTGTAACACATTTCAGACCAGCCACTGAACTCAGCAGCAAGCAAACTAACAACAAACAGCAGGAACTTTGAAAAGCAGGAATTTTGAAAAGCTAAGCAAAAGCAAACACATTTAACAATAAGCTAGCGCCAGATAATTACTTACTTCAGCTTTATTTGTGCCTCTAGATTTTCTCAATATTATGACAGAATGTGGAATGTGGTGGATGGACATGCAAGGTTTCTCTGCTGTGATTACAGCACAAATTACTGCTCAGCTCTGTGCAAAGCACTGCACTGTGTGCCGTCTTTGTCACCAGCATCGAGAGATTGGCCTGCATGGAGGGGCAGAGGTGAGACAGCACCTTGTTATCAGCACATGCACTTAGAAAATATATTCATGTACTCAAGAAGGATGATTGTAACCATACTTTTTTATTCTGCAGTTGATCTGTGTAGGACTTGTTCACTTGTGACTCTTAGGCAGCTGTTAGCAGTACCTGCTACTTTTAAATGTTTCATTTCAGGGGGGATGATATATCCCTTGTCATTAAGAAAAAGCACAAAATATATTCTCTATGTGCACAAAGACTCAAAGCAAAGCCATTACTTTTCACTGTAGGTGCATTTTCTTTCAGGTTGACATATATACCTATATGTCGGTGTATATATAGGCATTTTGAATTACTTTATCACTGGAATTCAGGATAGCACTTCTGTATTTTAATGAAAATGAAAAATATTTTGAATAATTTTGAATAAAAATGTTTAGAAAAACTTATTTTCCAGCATGGATGAATAAATTTGAGCCATCTTGGTTAACAGTATATATTTTAAAACTAATGTCCTTTCTTCCAAAAGTATTTAACCTCAAAATTCGATTTTCATTCACTGGAGATGTATCTGGCAAAACAAAAGAAAGTAAAAACAGAGATTGTGTACAAAGGGTATGTCATAACTTCGAAACCACACATAGAATCCTTGCATTTGATAACAGCAAAATGCAAGCAGTGTGATACCCCAGTAGCTGCTCACAGGACATTAATTCATCAGAAATCTGTAACAGGAAGGAAACTCACATATCAGTGTTTAGATTTTGGCACAAAAATGATTTAAAAAGAGGCAAAAAAATCAGTAATGTGGTGGCAGACTAATTAAGAGTTGAGAAATATGTATTAGAAGATCTTTTTGGTGTGTCTTTTTGCTGGCAACAACAATTAATATTTCTTACTATAAAAGATGAATTTTATAGTAAGAGATGAATTCTTTTCTTACACTGTCAGTAATAAAATGCCTGCTCAGCATTCAGCCAAGGCTGCAAAGAGCAAACAAGGCATTAAAATGCATCAGGTAAGGGTTGAAGAAGAAATGTAAAAATATTGTAGTGTCATTGTGCTCATCACTCTAAATGAGAAATGTAAGTGAAAGCTCATCTCCATGCAACCTCTCCATGCAATGGATACACACATGTATCCATCATAACTTTGGGAATGCACTACCATTTGCAGTTTGCTGAGAATGACAAGCAAGGATCTGCATTAATGCAGATAACAATAGCTGTGGATGACATTACTTGAAGTAAGAGAGAGTCTTTATATTCAAGAAAAAGACTATAAATTCTTAATACTCAAAACCTTAGAATCCACTATGTAAATCACTTAGGAAAACTGATAGAAAGAGTAGGTTATGCCACCCATCACCTTTTTTTGAAAAGGAAGGCAAATTTAAAGTGTGAGATGCTTCAAATTCTTACAGATGACACTGAAGCCATCATAACATCCCAAGGTAGCACAGCATCATCCTCACAGCTGGTGATGCTGACAGCAGAGGTGCTGAGCTGTGCACTTGTCTGGGGCACAGACTGCCCTGGAAGCCAGACAGCTTCCACTGCAGCTTCTTTTCCCTTTGTACTGCTCTGTGATCCCTCTGGTCACCAAGAATGGCCCTTGCTTTCCAGACTAGGGGAAAGGCTGCCTGTGCTGGGCTGGCAAAAATGAGGGTCAGCGGGTCAGCAAGGAACAAGCAAGCTGTAAGCTCTTGACAGCTGTGATGTAAGAGACATCCAGGGCAAAGAGTGATATCAGGGAATGGCTTGCAGGCTGGTCCAGTCTGGGCAAACTGTGGTGAGGGAGGATGCTGTGGAATTAATGGGGTGCACCCAGCAGCCATGCAGCAATGCCACAAACAGAGCCAGTGCAGGGCCCTTCTCCCACACGAAACTCAAATGTGCCTCACGTCACCGCTCAGCTTTGTACCCCATGGCCTGTGCACGTTTCCCTTGCTGCAGAGGGGGCCTGGTGCAGCCAGAACTCCTCCCATCCTCCCAGGTGAATGTTGTCTTGCTCCTCTGTGCCAAATAGCCTCTTCCAGCTCTCCCACTAATATTCACAGCTGCTCAATGTGTGTGCTGCACGAGCAACTGAACTGAGCTGAGCTGAGCTGAAAGTTGAGCTCTGAGCAGCTTTGCTGCATTGGGTGCAAAGAGGAGCTCATGTTAAATTGATGGGTTCAGGAAATCAGGTCCTGAGGCTGGAGCTCATTGAACATGGGTGGCTTCCTCCTCTGTCACCTGAACAAACCCCCCCACCCACATGCACCAAGCTGCAGTGGACAATGCCACTCCTCTTTTGAGAGAGCGTTTTGAAATCTGCTGATGAGAAAGGACGAGATGATAGTATTAATACAGACAAAAATAAAGTAAGGATTTTCAAAATGTCATTTGACAAAGGTGTTATTTTAGCTGAACAAGAGTTTCCAGCAATGAAGAATATTTGTACAAACCCACTGAACCATGAAAGATGATGGATAGACATTTGAGTGAAACAAAGCTGACTCATTCTTAAGGCCACATTTTTACATCAAGGTTCCTCAGAAGGCCACCCTGCATCCGCTCTTCAGTTATGCTAAGCAGCCACAGAAAGGTAGACAAAGGGGGAAATCAGCTAATTAGATTAAATACAAATAATGATGAAAAGATAAGAACAAGTTGATTGGTTTTCTAGCGCTCTTAGGCCACCACAGTCACTCCCTAAACAAAACAAAAAGCCGAATTACACATTTTCTCTGGAGGACAGCTTTACCCCTTCTAATGGTGCAGAAGCAGCATCGTGGCCAGCAGCCTGCTCCCAGTCAATCTGCTCCTCTCAGTCTGACAGCCAGTGAATTGCAGCCAGAAATTGCATTTCTCCTTCCTAGACTGCAGCTGCTTGTCACTGTCCCAGCACTGTCCCAGCAGTGACTGCTTGTCACTGTCCCAGCTCTGCACACCTGCTCTGAAGGGGAGCACAATTCCACAGGCACCAGAGTCTTCCTCTGTAACCAGGATGCATCTAAACTGCCAGCAGGGATCTACATCACACATTTTCCTGCAAGAGCTCTTAATTCTTTGCAGTTTTATCCAACATCTCTCTCTTAACACAACCAGAGACAAGTTTCATCACATCCTGTCTCTTATGCCAACATTTCCATCTGACTTGATTTACAGTTAGAATTCAAGGGCCATTTAATAATATCAATCAAAATAATCATTAAAATAATACTTAAGGCAATGCCTACTGAAAGTTCAACTTTGCTACTCCAGTCATGAAAGGAGGAGACTGGAAATGATACAATAGTGGTGAAATTTGTAGCATTTGTATAACTGATAGGACCATTCAAAGGAGAAGGAGTGGTGGTTGTATCTGCCATCATCTTACTGTGACACAGCAAGTCTCAATGGCAATCATCAAGTTAGAAGCTCCCAGAATGATTTTCTTCCTCACAGTTATACAGCAGCAACATCCATCACAAAAGTAACTAAATCCCATCTTATGGGACAGTCATTGATTGAGTCAAAGACACTTCTCACAGAAATAAAGCTCAAAAACAAAGAAGTTCTTTATCTGTTTCAGGCCAACAAAATCAAGTCCTCCAGGTAATGCAGGCCAAATACATGATTGATCAATGGATCACACTCCTTTAGTTTTTGTACTTTTTAAATTTTTTTTTCAAGTCATGTTTGAAGGGTTGACGTTTCTCTGGGTTTTAATTTCTTGTTTCAAAACAAATAACAGAACACATCCAGTATAAATAGCTCTGTAACTGTATAATGCAAGCTCTTTGTCAATTCAAGTGTTGCAAAGTAAAACTACTAAGGCACTAAGAATTTTTTTAAATTCCAAGATTTTTGCTTGCTTGCATTTAACAACAATGGCAAGTAATCAAGAATCTGATCTGCAAGAATCAGGTCTTTTTCCAGAGATACAAAACACTCATAAAAAGTATTCTTGGTGATGCTAGTAACATGTAAGACAGAGAATGAATGAAGATTGACATTACTAAATGCTCTCTTCTTCTCAAAAGAGACTGTGGCATACAATCAGCATTTTCCAAGGTCTAAGCAGCCAAGTTCAGGGAGAGACTTTTGTATCTGGGACAGAGATTGGAACAACGGGTGGACATCCCTGCATGAAAAGCATATTTGTCTCTTTTGCACAGGAACTTCGCACCCCTTAAAGAACCTCCAAGGGAGTATTGTGGTTTGGGCAGGACAATGGAAGAAAGGGGCCCTCCCTAGCATTTAACCTGTCACCATTACTCACAGAGAGAACAGTACTGGCTCATAGTCACACAAAAGCATCTTAATCCAAGTGAGGGAAGACCACAACACATCTCTTTACTTGCTTATAACTGGTAAACTGAAATTGGACCCCAAGCAAGACCATGACTGCAGGCTGAGTGAGTGACTTGCCTTTTCTGGTATCAAAGTATTGGGAAAGCTGCAAAAAGTGCATAGAAGAATATAAGGATGGATTTTGCTGTTGCTTATGCCCTTTTTGCTCTTTCACAAGCACTGGGAACAGAAAGGAAATATGTCTGATTGATTGCAGGGAGTAATGGTATATTCTGCAGGCCCTGCAGACAAATAGCACTGAGAAGCTGCAGAGAACAGCTCTGCCCTTGCTATCAAGAATCTTGTTTATGCTTTCTAGAACAGTGAAACCCATAGTATGAGGTGTCACACAAAACTCCTCAGTCCTACAGAGAAGGGGCTGAAGAGTTTACAAAAAGAAAGATTCTGGCTGTTTTCTCCTCAGTTCTGCTTTACCAGCCCATCCTTGCATAATACAGGTCACTACTTGCTTCCTTTCCTCAGAAATATTAGGGAACCTCCAAAATCTCCCACGGGAAGGTTGGCCCTCTCTGCTGCTGCTCTGGCTTTTTGCATGAACCTCACATGCCATCACCTCATCTCCACAGTCACATGGAATCCATTCACATGTCAATCCATTCACTTCCTCACTGGCTTAAGCTCACATTCTCTGCACACAGAGGTCACACAGTGGGATACCTGTCTTGTCACAACACCACAGAGTGTTTTCCTTTTGACAAGGCAGTTTCATGAAGATGTCCCTTCTCATTGCAGGCAAGTTTGACTGGATGACCTTTAAAGGTCCCTTCCAACCCAAACACTTCTATGATTTGAAGAAAATATGGAAAGGGCAAATTTTTGATAGCAGATGCAGTGGATAATGATAAACACCTTTTAGCCTAAAATTCCCTCCACATTTTCACAATCTTCACATTAAAACTATTTTAGAGTAAGTCAAGCCTATTTGTCAACATTACTGCAACTAAGTATTTCATAAATTCTGCTCTGAATTCTTATTATAGTTTTATTCTGATGGGGGAAATAATTTCAGAAATCCTCACGTAACCAAAAATTGTAGAAAAAAAATCAAGGATTTGTCTTATTTAACACACTTAAACAGCTTAAATAGAACAAGTCCACCACATTGCTCAATAAGTATCTTATTACACATATGACTGTACCAGAACTTAGGAAAAA